AGTTTACAGGACGGTGGTGAGACCAGCCATGATGTATGGTTTAGAGACAGTAGCAATAGGCAGAAGACAGGAGGGGGGGCTGGAGGGGGTGCTAAGTTAGATGCTAAGATTCTCTTTAGGAGTGACAAGAATGGACAGGATCAGGAATGAGGTCATTAGAGGGACAACACAGGCAGGAAGGTTTGGAGAAAAGGCTAGAGAAGCCAGATTGAGATGTTTTGGACATGTGCATAGGAGGGACAGTGGATACATTGGTAGAAGAATGTTAGAGATGGAGCTACCAGGGCGGAGAAAAAGAGGAAGGCAAAAGAGGAGATACAGTCTATGGATGCAGTGAGGGAGGACAGGCAGATAGTTGGAGTCAGAGTAGAAGATACAGAGAACAGGGAGAGATGGAAATCAATGATTCGCTGTGGCAACCCCTGAAAAAGGGACAAAGCCGAAAGAAAAAGAAGTAGACATATTCATGACCTTTTCATCTTTGAAACATTGAAAAGTGCATACTGTAGGTATAAGCACAATCTGAACACAAAGAAGAAATATGCTTACAGACAATGTTATTTCCTTGTTATTAATTGCAATATAAACACAAAACCCTGAAATCAAAATTAAGTCTTTCTATGGTCTGCCAACTGATACAAACATTAAACAATATATCAATATATATGTATAGGATTTACAGAAAGTGTGCAATAATTACTTAAACAAAAGTAGGCAGGTGCATGGGCACCCTTGTTGTTTTATTGATTTGAATACCTTTAGCACTAATTATTGGAACACAAAATTTGTTTGGTAAGCTCATTGACCCTTGACTTACATACACAGGTGAAGCCAATCATGAGAAAGGGTATTTAAGGTGGCCAGTTGTTCTCCCCTTTGCATCTTCTCTGAAGACTGGCAACATGGAGCCTCAAAACAACTGGCAAATGACCTGAAAACAAAGATTGTTCAACATCATGGTTTAGGGGAAGGATATAAAAAGCTAGCTCAGAGATTTCAGCTTTTGTCAGTTTTGATTGTCAGTTTCCACTGTGAGGAACACAGGCACAGTTATAGTTAAGGCCCATAGTGGCAGGCCAAGAAAAATCTCTGATAAGCAGAGGCGAAGGATGGTGAGAACAGTCAAACTCAACCCACAGACCAGCTCCAAAGACCTACAACATGATCTTGCTGCACATGGTGTCACTGTGCATCGTTCAATTCAGCGCATTTTGCACAAGGACATGCTGTATGGGAGAGTAATGCGCCCATGCCACAAAAAGAGTCGCTTGAGGTATGCTAAAGCACATTTGGACAAGCCAGCTTCATTTTGG